CCCGTCAACTCTCTCACTTTCAGCAACCTGGCGCCTAGGAAGCAAAATTAAGAAAGAAAAAGAGACACAGTCAGAGAAAACAGACTTTAAAGCACTTAAACACGGGACAAGGCGTCAGCAGTTACATTCTCTACGCCTTTAATATGGCGTATATCCAAAGAGTAACTCTGAAGAAACAAACACCATCTCATCAGCCTTTGGTTGGGGTTTTGTAAGGAGTGCAGAAAAACTAAAGGATTGTGATCCGTATAGACCACTAGAGGTCCTTCTGATGACCCAACATACAAGGTGGAGAAGCCCAACTAGAAAAAGGTTCAGCGAAGTCATTTTTAGAATATATTCGATTTCATCATCCAGTAGTTTTTTCTTATTCGCAAACACTCGATAATAACGTTGACGAATTGGGCTTGCACCTCTCACATCAATGTCGTGCTCTATTAGATCTGTACAAGGAGTATCAGAAAACAATGTAACATATTCCTTAGTCAAATTCATCAAATCAGTCCGCTGTACATTCGACAGATGACCAAGCCGAACGCTCAAAGAACTCAGTGCTTCTGAGTTTCTAAGACGACCTTGAAGAACACAATCTCCCGGATAGATTTCACCTTCCTCCCCAGCTACTGGAGTCGGAACCAATTCAACACTGTCATTATTAACAGAAACATCTGCAAACATAACAGGTTTAACACGCGAATCAGGCAGACTAACTTGGTCTTTTGTCATAAGGTCTTCGAAATCTTTACAAGCATAATAAGGCTTTAACAAGTTTATGTGACACATTCTAGTCTTTTTTCTTCGATTTGGCGTATTAATCAAATAATTCAAATCAGAAATCTGACGAGCAACAGTATATGGTCCGACAAACTTAGCCTGAAACGGTGACCCAACAACAGGAAACAACGCCAGTACCTGGTCACCAGGTTGAAACGAACGCAACTCTGTTCGACGATCAAAAAGTAGTTTCATTCGATCTTGTGATCTGCTCAAAGATGACTTTGCCAAGTGGCACGCCTCATAAACACGTCTACGAAAATCACTAACATATGACAAAACATTTTTCGGTGGATCAGACTTTTCCCAGTCAGCAGATAAAACAGCCAACGGACTTCGCACGTCGTGTCCAAAAACAAGGTCGTTCGGACTGAACCCAGTACTTTCTTGCGCAGCTTCCCGAGCCGCCATCATTAACCAATACTCACCATCTGCTTTTGATCTAGGCAACGGCCCGACACAATCTACAATGAGATGTTCAAACGGCTGACTAATGGCTGGAATCGGAAAAAGAGGAGCAGGTTTCAAAGATTGATTTGGCTTCCCAGTAAGCTGACATGTGTGACAAGATTTAATATATTTAGACACATCACGCTTCAATTTCGGCCAAAAGAACCGTCTCAAAAGTAATTTGTACGTCTTTTTCACTCCCATATGCCCAGACGTATCATGAGCAGTCTGTAACACTAGCGGCCGAAGTGACTGAGGAATTACAACTTGCACCATGGGATCACCCAATGCAAACTCTCCCTGTGGCACCCATTTTCGAACTAGCAATCCTTCATCTAGGTAATACCCAGATGAAAGATTCTCAATTGCGTCATATGATACAACCCGGTCAAATAATTCAACAAGAGTTGAGTCAGTTTTTTGTTTTTCAACCAGTTCATCACGTGACACTGATAAAATTGAAGGGACTTCTAGAGTTTCCTTCACCTTCTTAGATTCATATTTTACCTCAGCTTGGGTTTTACTCATAGATCGTGTTATCACACAAGTGGGTAACACACTTGAACAGGTCAAATTCTCACCACCATCTGGTTTCAAGATCATCGGGCATGGTGTTACCACTAGATGTGGTGAATCATTCCGCCAGACACGATCACCAGCCAAGTCATTCCCCAGAATTACCTGTATTCCTTCCACAGGCAAGCAGGAACGAACAGCCACCTCCACTTCTCCCTGGACCAATACAGATTGCAAAATAACTTTATGCAGTGGAACAGACATAACATTCAAGCCAATGCCCTTAATCAGCACATTACTTCCAGTGTAAGAATCAGGTGAAAAAGGCAGCGCAGACTCTAACACAAAGGTTTCTGATGATCCTGTATCACGTAGAACCTTTACTGGTACGACTTTTGTGGAATCTACCAACCTAACAGAACCTTCTGTAACAAAAGGAGTAAATGTTGAACCACATGGCGAGCAAATTTTCTGCACATTATTCACTGTCGAAGTAGTCACAGCCAAAGCCACAGACTTTACAGGAGACCAAGAATTAGATTTCACTTTAGAATTGTCAGCTTTTGCTTTCAATAAGAGACATTCATTCTTCCAGTGACCAAACTCATGACAATAATTACACATATTTGCTCTGTCTTTCTCTTCAACAGAGCCATGCAACTGTCTGCTGGGTAAATCATGCACAAACCTGGTAAATTTGCTAGAACTTCGCCACGGCTCTTTTTTTAAATTTTCTCCACCCGATCTGTAACCAAAAACAGTTTTATGAGACAACGAGAATTCATCAGCCATGACGGCCGCCTCATACGCAGTGTCAGGTTTATGCTCACTAATGTAAGTTGCAATGCGATCTGAAATGGAACTCTTGAATTGTTCAAGTACCATTAATTCTTTTAAATCGTCAAGTGTTTTTACATCAGAAGCTACACACCAACCAAAATAGACCGAAATATCGTGTACAAAGTCAACATACGTCTGTTTTTCACTCTTCTTCCAGGACCTAAACTTTTGTCTATAGGCCTCTGGAACTAGTTCATAAGCCCTCAACACTGCTGATTTTACAGCTTGATAATCAGAAGCATCCTCTACACTAAGGGAAGAATACGCTTCTTGAGCTCTGCCTGTAAATACAGACTGCAACATAAGCGTTCGCTCTTCATCTGGCCAACGTTGTGCGTCCGCAACACGTTCAAACAATAAAAAGAAACGCTCAACCTCTCTCTCATCAAATTTAGGAATCAATCTCATATTTTTTACCGTATCAAACTTGGACGAACTTGAATCACGTACTGATTCTCCAGTAACAGAAAGTTTACCTTCTCTTATTAAATCCAAACGATAACGTTCAAGTTCAAGTTGTTGTTGCTGCAATTGGACTTTAGAGATTTCAATGTGATTTTGCGATTCTAACTGCTTTTCTTTCATCTCTACTTGAATTATCAATAATTGCCTTTGTTGTTCAAATGTTAAATGAGACTGTGTTGATGTCGCATCGACAAAAGTTAACGTATCTTCTGAAGATTGAGTCTCTAAAATGCCACGTTCAACTAACTCTGTCTTTACCAAGGTTTTAATCTGATCTTTTAGACGTTTATCTTGACTCATCAGATTAATTTTGTAGTATTCTGCAAGTTCTAATAATTGATCCTTGGTTAAGTCATTTAACAAGCTCTCAGACGGTGCGCTAACCAATTCCTCAACGTTTGAGGACATTATGAAAAATGTATGGCTACCAAATTCCAGAAAAACAAAACAAGCTTAAAGACAGAAGTTGGAATAAGCAATTCCCTCCAACTAAGATTTAAACCTACCTAAACTCATCCCTAATCTTCATACAGTTACTTGCAGCGGGTTTTTATACACTATAAACCAGTGTTTGCAATAGCAACCGATTAACGAGTCACTACTACAAACACGGACGTGTTCCCGAGACAAATGCTCTAACTGCTTTCACCGTACAAAAATAACAAACTAAAATAAAAAAAGATCGGAAAATCCTGTTAAGGAAATCCCGCTAAACCTTCGCAGGGAAAAGCCTAAGCCAAGACGCCTCTTTTCTCAAATTTAGTAGCCAATACACCAAATTAAACTCCCGTAACCAACCAGAACAACCAAACCAACCACTAAAACCCTCCACAAGTTTTACTTAAAAAAAATTATCAAGAAAAAAAATCGTTTCTAACGAATTAACCAACTTAACAAAATTAATTTAAACAAATAATAATCATCCAAATGTATCACATTTACCAGAACCAAATGAACGAATGAGTTTCTCTTACCAAAGCGAACAGACTTATCCACATTTGTCCAAACCGGAAAATATTTATCACCTTAAACAACGGACAAGCCTCCATATTTGTCACACTAACAAACTACGAACGAATCTTCAATTAACAATTGGCGGACGACAAAAACTACTAACGAAACTTTATCAAAAACAATCGGCTAGACGAGCCCCCATATTTGTCACGACCGGCTCAAAGCCGTGACAAATGAGTGGAGGACATAGTGAAGTTGGTCAGGTTGTACGTGTATTTATTAACATAAATAGAAAAATATATATAACAGGAAATAAATTACAACACACCTGCCATTTCTGTCTGACAAGCGGTGTTAAGATGTCAGACAGAACTAAGATCAAATCATAGCAAAGGAAAACAAAACAAACCCAACACAAAAAGGTACAGGAGCAAAAGCTCTCACAAGAGTCTTGCAGCTCTGAAGATCTCGAAGCTCACTCCACATTCTCAAAGCCTAAGCTTATATACAGGTGTATATCACTTGATGATCCTACACAGGTGTACATCATTCTCTTGATGAGTCTCCCAGTCACACCCACCGGTCGACACAGCGGGAACAACCGGAGACCCGTCACAGTGGGTTTTCTTTCTTTTTTTATTAAAGAAAAAGTCACTAAAGAGGTCTGATTTGGCCACAGTCAGTATTCTGGAGATGGTGACCTTAAGTGGTGGGAAGTGGTATAACTGTGGAACACTTAAAGGGACAGTTCACCCAACTAATTAAAATTCTGTCATCATTTACTCACCTTCATGTCGTTGCAACCTATTTGATCTTCTTTCTTTTTTGGGGGGAATACACGAAATTCCAAATTATGCTTTGTGTTCCACAGAAGAAGAAATGCACACAGGTTTGGAAAGATGTAAGGGAGCAAATTATTTAAATTTTTTGGTGAACTGTCCCTTTAATATCTTCTGCTACCAAGTTTAAAATCTCAACATATGTGCATAATCTTTTTCCAGCTGAAGCAGAGGAATTGCGCATCATGTTACTGGGGGCGAGGGGGTCTGGAAAAAGCTCAACTGGAAACACCATCCTCAGGTGGAACGCCTTCAACACGGACATGCAACTGAGCAGAGTCACCCAGTTCTGTGAAAGAGCATCTGGAAACATCAACGGCCAGCCCGTGGCCATAATCGACACGCCAGGACTGAATAAGACCAATCGAATAGAGAAGGAGGTGATCAGGGAGATCATGAAATCTGTCTCTCTCTATAAACCAGGACCACATGTGTTTCTGCTGGTTCTGCCGGTGGGAAACTTAACCAAAGAGGACAAGAACATCCATAAGCTGATCCAGAACATGTTCGGAAAGAACGTTTGGAATTACACAATTGTTCTTTTCACACATGGAGATCGACTAGAAGGGAAAATGCAGAATGACTTGATTGCCAGCTCAGACAAAGACCTTAGAGACTTTATTCGCACCTGCAGTGGTGGATTTGTGTTCTTTAATAACAAGAACACAGGAAACTTTGAGCAAGTGACTAAACTTCTGGAGAAGATTGATACTTTGGTGGCCATCAATGGCAGAGGCTGCTACACAAATTAGTTTTCCCTGAACTCAGAAAGAAAGAAACGTGAAAAACAAGAGAAGATTCTGGAGGGGAGACAGGTGGGAATTGCACGAAAGGAGAGAGAGCTGGAGGAGAATTATGAAGATGAGGAGGAGTTAGAGAGGAAAAATCGTGAGCTCTGGAGAGAAGAAGGAGGAAGATGCACGGAAGCTGAGAATCCACAAAGACGCAAATCTCTGACAGTGAATCACACCTGAGCCCCCAAATCTGTAACAAAATCACATATCATTCACTAATTCAACCGTCTTATAAACTGTACAGTAAATTTCTGAAGATTGATGCATTATTCAGGTTTTACATTGTTGCTGCATATTGTTGTTGTGTTGTTTTTATTAGGTCAGGTGCCTAATTAACGGTGTATGTAACAATTCACTGTCACTGAATACCCTCTGCTGCACTTGATCACTCAAGCGTCACTTCAAACAAAGCGTCATCAGCTGTGTTTAAGGGATCTGTCCTTATGTTGTTGAAGTTTGGTGATTTAAGAAATTCATAATAAATAATAATAAAGTAAGATGCCCTGTTAAAATATGTGAGATGTATGGTTGGTTTATTTAAACTGCAAAGGAAAAGCATAAATTAAAATAATTGTGACAGATGTGAAGGGGAGGAGAATGTATATGTTTCAGGTTTCTCGACAAGAAAGACTTCCGCACAGGATACACCTGTGTATCTTCGCTTATGACGCCCCTGGAAGCCTCCTCACTCACTTTATTAAGTATAACTAAATGCATTTATGCCACACTATAAATTTGTATACTTAAAGTCTATTAAATTAAATTGGAACAGCTAATTTTGTACAAAATGCATTTTAGTTGTACAAAAGTATAGTGCTGAAGTTCAACTAAAGTCGTATTTAAAGCTGCAGTCCGTAGTTTTTCCTCTTTGTCCCCATCTGTTCGAAATCTGCAAATGCAGTCATTCGAGGAAATATCAACTTTAAATGGGTTGTGGCACGGCACTGCGCGGATGAATCCAATGTTTTGAGGAGAATGTGCGGCTGTCAGTCACCGCGCCGGTGTGGATACTGGCATTCGGAATCACAGATTCTACTTTTTGGAAGTATGACCAAGATAAGAATTTTCACCGGAAATTGTCATCTGAACAAGTAAGTAACATCCACTTTTGTTCGGACCAACTAAGGGAAAAAAAGCATTGCAGTAAATCGCGCTGATTAAACGATCGCTTATTATATCACGTGCATTTTACAACGGGTAATCAAATGAATAAGTTAAATTTGATTTCTTAGCAGCAGACAATCAAATAATAAATGAAGAGTCCATAATCAGAATTTAAAGTTTAATAAAGAAACATAAATGAACAGTTAAAACATTGTCTCTTACCCCAACTGTGTCAAAGTCGTTCATCTTAATACAATACACAATACAGAACTACTGCACTACATGCAAGATGCAAGATGTTCAGCTAAGATCAAATTAGTCCCTTTATTCTGAGACATTCAAGCATTTGTGGTCTGTCTATTGGAAACTTATAGACTTTTGACCTCATCAATACAGCAAGTACAAAAGTTCACCCTTAGTCAATCAGCTACATTTGAGGCATAAAGATTAATAAAAGAAAAGCATTAAACATACATTTCAAATTATAATAATGATAAACAAAAAAAATTTTTTTAGTAATGAGAAACACATCAACATGATAATAATGATTTCTTAAAATAGGATTGACTACATTTGATTAAATGATATTTAAGATCTACAATGATTAAATGATAAAACATAAGCAAATGATAAAACATAAGCAATAAATATATATAAAAAAATATATATATATTCATCAGTATACTAAGAATATGATGGTTAACAATGTTACTAAAAACTCCAGGTAGAAAAAGTAGACAAAAAAGTATGTAGACTCAAATTATGTAATAAAAACAACAACATTAATAGATCAATCAAAAACCCTGAATATCAAAGGAAACTAATGTCACACACATATGATCATTATATAAAATAACTAAAAATCTGACTAATTTAATTATAATTACATATTTTCATATAAAAGCCTTCAGAAAGTGGTGAGAATAACTTATTGGCAATAAACTAAATAAAGAATTTAGCCTAAGGCACCAGTTAAACTTATAGGTATTTCTCCAAACTCTCCAAAGCTTGCTTCTTTGTGCAGGATCTCCATTCTTTTGGAATCGTACCATAACCACTGAAAGTTTTGTTATAATACTTTTCCAAATCATTCTGGAACAGACACACAAACCACTTCCAGTATGGCAACTCTGAGACATCAGGCGTGATGCTCCAATTCTCATAATCCGTACCTGCTGTTCTATACTCCTTCCATAAAACTGTGTCATCTTTTTGAAAATCTGGGTAAAACTTTTGTGTTTCACTTGCCACTGAAGATGTGCAGAATTCCAGGCAAAGATTATCTGTACCTTTGTAAAGCATCCCTCTCATCCCACAGTTACGATGGAAGGGAGCAATGTGATCTCCAAGATGATCCTCCATTGTGTTAACACAGACAACTTTACAGAAGGGACACTGAACCCAGCAGCACTGGCAGAAATGTTCAATTAAAATATCATCTGGTGGTTTCCTGAACATTTTTATTTCAATATCAGAGGGCTTTGTTAAGTATTTGTTTGACTCTTCTGTGATGGGCTGAAGTTCTTTTTTAACAACCTCTTTTAGAAGTTCAAAGTCAGTGATGTCCAGACAGCAGTTACCAGTGAGATGTTCTTTACTGTATTCAAGCTCGTCTTTCAGACAGTCTGAGAATATCTCCAGCCACATATTAGCATCTCCATGTTTCCTTGAGACTTCGGTTGTTGCATTTTCAGCAGCCTTAATGACACATTGCCCCTTGTTCTTGATGTTCTCATTAATCATTGCAAGAGCTGGGGAGTTCTCCCCTGTTATATATGCTTTCACTTCAGATTTGATGAAATCTTCAAAGTGATTCCTCGGTAAATGTATATACTTAATGAACTTTTGAAAGTCCTCCTCCTCAGCTAGTGTTTTCAGAATGTGTTTCTCAAGGTTTGACCTGTTGCCTTTGAATGCTGGAATATTTGTCCGCATCTTTCCTGCTAGATCATTTGCAGCCTTGTTGTAGGCACTCTGGAGAATGGGTTTTTTCAGCTCACTACAAATCAAGGCTCCAAATATTGCAGCAGATTGTGCTCCTTTGCAGAATCCCTGGAACACACTGTAGTATTCTGGTTTATTTCTCTCTAAATAAATCAAAGGATCATTGTTGTTTCTGAACACCTGATGGAGGTCTGCAAACTCCTCACCTGCCCACTTACATGCACTGATTGTCAGATCAACTGTGAACTCTTTCTTGAATTCATATTGTGCTTTTTTGCACTTGTGGTTTCCTACATTCATTTTTACAAGTTGTGCAATTTCTTGAATGTAGCTTGGGTTGTAGCCTGTGTTCGCAACTAATTTTGACTTAACCTGTTTCCCAGTTTCATGAAAAATAGTGTACACCAATTGTTTTATTGACTCTTGTTCTTCTGGTGGAAGGTCTGGTCTTTTTTTCCAGGATTTTCCGATGAGATTTACACATGTGGTGAAATCAGTGATTTTATGTATGTGTTCATCTTTATTTAATCTGTCAAGCACAAGTGCTTTTTCATGAATTTCAGATATTATTGTAATAATGTCACTTTCTAAGTTAAGTTCTTCAAAAGGTTGAACATCCCCTGCCAACTCAGAGACCCACATTTCCCACACTTTCCCAAATTGTTCCTTCAGCTCATTCTCATCAAAACCTTTTTGTTTGAGCCTGAATGCAAACTCTTTGCTTTTCTCAAGGAGTTTTCGCTCATGCAGAGTTTTCTCTCCATCCAGTTTAGTGAGAGCTTTCTTTTGATAGATAATGTTATCTAGTTTTCTTTTTGCATCCCTCACAAGCCCCCAATGAAGGTGCTCGATTTTCTCTTGAAATTTCGATCTCCACTGAATCAACATCTCCTTTTCTTTGTGTTCTTCAAAGTAAAACTTCATGGACCTTTTTACCTCTTCATTGGTCTCTGCCATCTCATTTTCTAAATGTCTACTCTCAACTGTATGCAGTTGCTTGTTGTTGATTCTGTTGTGCAATTTGTCTTCAATCTCCAGCATGGCACTTCTGAGACTCCATGTCCACTTTGCATACTCCTCTTCTAATTTTCTATATGTTGCAATTTCCAAAGTATTCTTAAAGCTGAAAACAAAGTTTTCATTCAGAAGAGCGTTCCAGAGGTCTCCAATGCGATCTTTGAATTGTGTCAGTGTAAAACCACTATATTGTAAAGCCCGAGATAGGATTGTGTTCTTAAGCTCCTGCACATTTTCACTGTAACCTGGATTGGGTGGAGCCATTGGTGGGTTGCCTTCCCAGAGCTGGGCAAAGTACCTCACATCAGTCTTTATATCAAATCCAATGACGTCACTGAAACACTCTGCACCACAGACTTCTTCTTTAGCAGCTAGTTGAGTCATCTCATCTAGTTTCTCCTGTAAGCGCCTTTTCCCTACCATGTTCTTCTCGCCCGCTGTGATGTCTCCAACATTCTGATGCACATACATGCAGCTGGGATTCAGTCGTACCTTTTTCATCCTCAAGAAAGCCTGAACAACAATCTGAAGGATGTCCTGCATCTCAGCTGGATTCTCACCAAAGATGTTGATCAAAGTCATGTTTCCAAGACCGACTACAAATGTTGCCATTTCATTATCATGATGTCTTGTTGACCTGCCAGCCAACTCAAGAGCATGAAGTCCCTCAGTATCAACAACAATAATGTAGTCAAAGTTTAACTGGGTTTTCAATTCTTCTGACACCTTGACCAGCTGCATGAAGGCTCCTCTGGTACACTTCCCAGCGCTGACCGCAAACTGCAGTCCAAACATGGCATTCAGCATGGTGGATTTCCCAGTGCTCTGAATACCCAAAATTGACAACACAAAGACTTTTTGGTCTCCCAGCATTTTGTTAAGTTCATCTAGAACAGCTTGAACCCAAATCAGAGGAACGTGAGCTGCATCACCATCCATCAGCTCGAGTGGGTATCCAGAGATTATGAGCTCTGCAGCAAATCGCGGGAGAGACCTGACATCTAGTTCGCATTCAGTACTTTTTTTCTTTCTCACAGATATGTGCGATTCATATATCTGCC